CCCTCCCCTTTCTTCCTGTGAATGTTTATAGAAGCCTGAGAGTCAAATGATGATGTCTGACCTCAGCCCAAGAAGCCAGCAATGATGTGGCTTGGAGACATATTCCATACCTCAGGCCCTCTCCTAGTACCCCCAGTCATCTACGCCCCCACTTCCCGATCCCCATCCCCATCCCCATCTTTGCCAGACTGTCACATGTTTTGGGGTTGCTATTTGCTACTTTTCATGTACCAGCTTCCCCATTTGAATTTGACTAGTACTTGTTTCCTTGAGGTATTTCCATCTACCCTGGCTAGATAAACACTAGTCAGGGTTCAAAGCTATCCCCTTATGCTCCTGCATCCTAGTCAATGGAATTGTCCTCTAATCTCAGGAGCCTTCTCACAGGCTTCAAAAGAATTGTCAGTGATAAATATTTCTTCTACCATCTCAGTCCAGCCCTTTCCCGATCTCATTCACTCAAAGTCACCTTACACAAGCTGTGTTACAAGTCAGCCACACATGTATTTGCCCCACGCCCTTCCTATAAAACACATTTTCTGGGGAAGACAGTGTATATTTCCCCTCTCTCTAATTCTGCGTAGCCCACAGATACAGAAGGGAAAATAAACCAGAATGTTATTATCAGCCTAGAGTCTTGAATGATATAGATTTACAAAATTTTCCTTGGGGGGTTTTAGCGTGTCATTGGTCATTTCTTGCCATCCCAATGAGGTATAATAACAAGAATAATAGTCCCAGTTTGTAAACTGGTGAGCTGGTCAAAGAATCTAGGCCTGGGGTTTGTCTGGACGAATATTCTAGCCTACCTGAGGATTGTAATGATGGGTTTGGATCTGCATTGGCACACATACCACTTAAAAGAGGAGAGACCATTAGCTGGAGGGAAGAAGAGGCACTGTCACTTGACATTTACTTTGGTCTAAGGATTGGATATTTTAAAAATACCCCAGTCTTAAGTTTTATAATGGGTCCCATCTGATTATGGCTTTTGGAAACCCTTTGAAGTACAGAGCCTTCCACTGTCAGGGCCATGAGGCACAGTATGGCTTTTGGTGTTTGACTAGTGACAGAGCAACAGCTAGAGGCGACCTGGCAATGATCTGTGGCTAATATGGCGTCTCTCTGCCCTTCCTTTGCAGTAATCCATGGCTGTGTACTGAATAGTATGCCCTGCTACAGCTGGACTGGACTCCACTTAGCCTTTTAAGCGAAGGTTCTTATTTTAACTGACAACTTTTTTTAATGGTGCCAGATAGCTGGGCCCTCCACCCCCTGCTCTGGTACTTTAAGCCCCCATCTCTCTCTCTCTCTGTCTTTTGAGTTCTGCTTCTGCCTCCCAGTCTGACTGGCGTGGACCATGACTTTCTTCTTTTTTCATATTTTAAAGGTGGTTGTATCGTCACTACCTCTAAAACACACAAGGTGATAATAAATTTACAGGCTTTCTGAACTGTTGCAAAAGGGTGGGGGGCATTCTCTACAATCATAGTTAATATTTGGAAGCCAAGAATAAGTCCAAAGCAGAACTAGATAAAAGCAAGCAAGTCAATATGCATACATTCTCTTTCTCTCTCTTTTTTTTTTTTGTTGGCAAAGAGAGAGGGTGATTTTGATATGTTCCGGCCAATGGCCAGAGACAAGTACAGGGTAACAATGGGAAAGCATAAGCTTGTTTCTTGGGAAAAACCAACCGGAAGTGGACAATTTCAGGAAACCCTATGCCTGGAGGTAAACCAGAACAAGGCACCACCACCAAGAACAGAAAGCCCAAAAGCAGAATTCCCAGATACCTTCAGATACATAGTCAGTAGTTGGGGGAAGACAGGCTCTTGCAATGTAGCCCTGGCTAACCTTGAAATCACAATGTAGACCAAGCTGACCCACAAATTCACAGAGATCTGCCTGCCTGAATTACCTGAGTGCTGGGGTTAAAGACAAACACCCCTACACCCAGCTGCCTTAATCCACTTTCCCAGAAATGAAGCCTCTCATTTGCATTTGTATATAAATTCACTACTTGAGGTTTGAGGGTTTCAAATACTTCGTAAGTATTTGAGCTACACAACCTTCCAAAAACAAGCAGGAATTGTATATAAAGTGGGAGCTTTTTGGTCAGCATGGCTGATGTAACCCTTATGGAGGATATTGACACATAGAGAAATTAAGGAACTTAGCCAAGGGCCCACTACTATTTCTTGGCAAAGCCCGAGCAAAATTTCATGTCTCAGGGTTCCCAATCCATTTCACCAAGGGACCTAACTATTTGTGTATGTTCCTGGAGACAAGATTTTTTTAATGTTCAGAGAAACCACCAATATTAGAGGCATCTTGAGGGTTTTTCTCATAGAAAAATAGGATGGGGTGGGAAGGGGCAGATGAAGAGATAGTTCCAGGCCAGATGCCGTGAAGCTTGATGATCAGTTAGCTTTCCTATAAGTCTGGAACAGGACCAGGCCAGTGTCCATTTCACTGATGCACTCTGTGGCTTCTTGTAATCAGGGAACTTTGGTGGATATAAAAAGCAAGAGAACCTATTAAAGGAATTGAGGTGATGCTAAATTTCATTGAGTTGTCCTTCTGACTGTAAATGGAATGGTTTTTGTTTTTCTTCGCTTAAAGGTCTTTTTAATTAGTACAGTTGTTACTATTTTTTTTGAAAATACCCTAAACTCTGCTTACTTCTAGTGAAACAAAAACCAGTAATTAGATATGGTCTGTGCTTTTATTTTTCTAGACTAGAATGGCTTTCCTGAAACACAGACACAGACACACACAGAGACACACACACACACACACACACACCCTTCATTTCTCTGAAGCCAAGAAGTCTGCTTTCCCCATCTAGTTTGGATCTTTTTTAAAAAATCATTTGGCATTCACACATGGCTGTTAATATGTGCTTATTTTTTAATTAAAGCGAGACTCGTTAAACTGGTGTGTGGTGTTCTTCAAACCTTCTCAAGAGATTTTCCCATGGTGATGGCCCCTCCGAGACCTGTTCCTGTCTTCTTGGCATTTAATCTATGCTACCTTCCACTCCCCTTGCATGCCACTTTGAATGTCCTTCCTCTTTGGCTAATTTCGTGTTTTCTCTCTCTTTCTCTCTCCCTTTCCAGCTTTTTTTAACCTTTTCTTCAGCAGCTGTACTAAGTCTAAGGGAGAAGACTGCCATTATAGAAGAGTTAGTTAGGGCTCCATATTGTCTCAAGCAAGAAACCAACCAGTTCCCCTCCCCTGCAACTGTGCACATTAAACCACACTCAAGTGTACGTGTGTCCCTGTGTCCAGACAAGAAGCTCTCTTCTGACTTACATGGTGTTTTACATGGAAGTGTCTTGTCCTAAACTCACAAGGCAGGAAAAGAATCATCAGAGCTGGAAATGGACCAAATGTAACCTCAGAGAAACGACAGCAGGACCACTCACCCAGGTGTTAAGTGACTCTGGGGCAGGAGATCTCAGCTGTGGGTGTGGAAGCGCTGTTCACGAGGTTTTGCGTTTTATGTTTTTTTTTTTTAAACAATTCTCTGTTTCAATGGTTTGACTGTCTTCAGCCACTATTAAGCTGATTCTGAATATGGAAGAGAATGTTAAGTGACATCTTCAGCATTCACAGACCTTCTGCAGATCCCAGCAAGGGGAGAAATGGAGCATTAACTTTCAGCTGGAGAAAGATACTGAGGGGGGTTAAGTTTAGTGAGAGCAAAGTTCTCCATGAAAACTTCCAAGGGAATTCAGGGGCTTTGCAAGAAGTTTCTGTTCAACTTGGTATCTGTAAAGAGAGCTTTGATGTTGGTAGATCTGCCTTCAATTCACTGGCTTTACTTAACATCTGAATACCATGTGAGTGTGCTCATTCTCACATAGCCATACCACAAACACCACCACCATTCTGCTGTCCCGTCTCTTGAGAGAGCCTCTTTGCATGTTTTCCAGAATCTGTGTTTGTTTTTTCCTTCTTTTCTGGTGTTCTTTTTGCTCAAAGGTGTGACCAGTCACTGCCCCTCTGGGGCTTTCATTTTCCACAAGATCATCCCAGAACCAGCACTGTTTAGCTCATTATCTTTCTAATGTCCATGTCAATTTTCAATAAAATTCAAAGAAACGCTCACTGGTTCTATGATCTGACCCCATCAGTTGGTGGCATGGCTCACCACAGAAATGGGTGGCCACCGCCCAAGTGGATATTTTGGGAGGCTCAGAGAAATGGCATGAGCCTACTAAGTCTTCCTCAGTGGACTGCCACACCCCTTCTCTCTTCCTCCTGGCTCTGAAATTCCAGGGGCAGGGTGGGTGTTAGCAAGCAGTCTCCTGCTTTCCCTTTCATTCGCACTGCTTGGACTAATCAAATAAACTGAGTATCAGTAGAGGGAGAGGAAGAAGAGAAAATGGCATCCCCAGAGCAAAATCCAGGTAAGTTTTAGTTATGAAACAAAAGCAATTCTGTGCTACTTCTCTCTTTTACTCCTGTGATGTAAGCATGTTCCCAATTTCACGGGTTGAAAGGCATTCTGTAGATACTAAGCCTCTGCTCTGGTACCTGAGCAAACAGCGCTGACCTGCCTCTACGCAGCTCGCACACTAGGGGGCAGAAGAGTAAGCTATACTTGCTTATGACGCAGCTGAACACTGATCCTGTGAAGGTATGGAAAAATACAGAATCCTTAGCCTGTTGGAAAAGCGAGAAAGTTGTGATAAGAAAGCCAAACGCGTCCTAGTAATAGGGTAAGGCGCCTGCTGCCAGGACCAATCTGAGTTAGATCCCCGAGACCCAGATGGTGGAAGGAAAAACCTGATTCAAGTTATTTCATCTCCCCACAGGGGCCCTGGCACTCGATCCCCAGCCACTGAAAATGAAAAACAAAAAATACCAAAGATACCTTTTAAAAAGAAAAACAGGGCATTTAGTAAATGAGGTTTCTTGTTTTGAACACCTCCCGTTGAGAACCATCACAATTTTGCACTAGTGCTTGCCATGTTTGGCATGGGCTTTATTGTAGAATGTCCTTGCCCTAGTCGGGGTAGGGGTGTAGTTCAGTTGGTAGAATTCTTGCCTGGCACTCAGAGCCCTGGGTTTAATCCTCAGCAACAAATAGAACCAGAGCTGATGGCATGTGCCTGTAATACAGCACTGAAACGAGGCAGGAGGGTCAGAAGGTCAAGACCAGCCTTGGCTATTGGATCCTGTATAATGCCAACTCGAGTTATGGGTAATGAGAACAGTCTCCTCCTCTTCTGATGGACATTCTCTTTCATAACTACATTTCTCAACTTCAGGAAATGGCTCATTATGACACCATTTGTTTTTCGAGACAGGGTTTCTCTGTGTATCTTTGGAGCCTGTCCTGGCACTCACTCTGGAGACCAGGCTGGCCTCGAACTCACAGAGATCAACCAGCCTCTGCCTCTCGAGTGCTGGGATTAAAGGCGTGCACCATCACGGCACGGCATGTTATGACACCATTTTAACCTATGAAATTATTTCCTTTGCAGCACTTTAAGTCTAGAATCATACATTTTGTCTTGGGTTTTAAATATCCTTAATTTGGAAAAGAATCGCTTTGCCTTTTATGACACTGATCTTTTTTCTAATATTTTATTTTTATTTTAAAATTATGAATGTGTGTGCACAAGAATGCACATGTGGACAATGCCTTTGGAGGGTAAAGAGGATGTACGAGCCCTTGGAACTGGAGTTAGAGTAAATTTGAGGGTGCTGCGAATTGAACTCTGGTCCTTGAATAATAGTATGCACTTGAGACAGGGGTTCTGGTGTAACAGCCTTTGATGTCCTGGAACTCGCTCTGTATAGATCAGGCTGGCCTGAAGTCACAGGGATCCACCTGCGTCTGCCTCCAGAGTGCTGGGATTAAAGGCGTCCCCCACCCACCTGGCTTAGTAGTATGAATTCTTAACCTCCAACATTGATCTTTTTGAAGCCCTGTTTATTGTTTTTAAGATACAGAATGAGCAGATAGCTCAGCAGGTCAAAGTGCTTGCACATAGACCTGAGTTTGAGTCTAAGGAGAGAACCAAGTCCTCCGAGTTGTCTTCTGACGTTCCCAAAGGCACCATGACATCCATACACCCACACATACAATAAATTCAATATTTTCATTTGGGGTGAAGGTGTTGCCTCATTTCTCCACTGTATGATTGCTAGGCTTATTCGCCCCTCTCCCATCAACAACCTTGCTACTAAAAACCTATGTAGGGAAACTAAGTCCCTGCATATAACTTGCTCCTCATCAAAAACGTTCTCCTAGTTTAGCATCTGTTGGTAGCTCTTGCCTGAGTGAATCTCCAAGATGAATTTTTGATTTCAGCTCTCCTTCCCCAGCTGCTGCTCAGTGCACGGTTTACTCCACGGTAAGCACAGGCCTCTTCTTCCTCTCACTTGTCTACTTAGCATCATTGCGGATTCATGGCTTTATATGATACACGTTTCATAGGAATCTTTAGGGATTTAATTATTCACTTTTAAACTTAGCATACAAAGTGGTGGGCTTCATTCTGACATTTTTGCAGATCCAGGTCATTACACTTTGTTCTTATTTGTGCTCCTTCACTGTCCTTCACTTTCCCCCTGCTCCTATCTTGTTGGTTCCCCTCCCAAGACCTCTTCCCTCTGCTTTCAAGTCAAACTTATGCCATTTTGTTTTCTTTTTTTTTCTTCCTTTGCCCCCTCCCTTGAGTTTTTTTTCCTCCCTCCTCATGTTCCTTTTTGGATTTTCATCACACACACACACACACACTTTTTAATGTTTTTTTGTTTTTTGTTTTTTTTGTTTTTTTGTTTTTTTTTTTACTTCATTACTGTCCCTAATTGTTTTGCAGTTCAGGTTACCAATTGTAGCCTGATTGGAGGTTCCTAATTTTGACTCCATTAGTAAAGATTCCTCAAGTGCATTTTTGTTAAGGAGTACTCAGGTCAGGATCACTGTGGGATGAGCCTGACAAAAGGTACTAACAGGAGGAGAGGGAGAACAAAAGCCAGGGGGAGGGGCATATGTTCAATAAACAATGTATAATCAGGAAAATTTTAACAAGAATAAATGGTTTTTAAAGATTTTTGTGTGAGGTTGAGACAGCAGGATGGCTTTAGGTTTGAAGTCGGCCTCAAGAAAACAAAACAAGGGGCTGACTCCATGATTAAGAGCACTAGCTGGTCTTCCATAGGACTGGGGTTCAATTCCCAGCAACCACATGGCAGCTCACAACTGTCTAACTCCAAGATCTGACACCCTCACACAGACATGCAGGCAAAATACCAGTGCACACAAAATAAATAAGAAAACAAAACAAACACTAACAATAATTAAGAAAACCAACAAACCAAAAGCCTCCCTAAGGATTTATATGCAAATAATGGCTGATGTGGGAGAGAGACTTTCTACAGTGGTACAGTGGTGTAGCTGTTGGTAAGGTGCCCATGCTCCTGGAAACAAACTCTGACCCATGCTACTGTAAACTACTCTAATGAAACTCATTGTGTTACCAAAATAAAATCTGTGAAAGTTGAAAGGAGGCTACTTAGGAAGAGGAAGAGTGTTGGTGGTAGTGGGAGGGGAACTAGAGAGTAAGAGGGAGTGGTGGCTGCAATAAAAATAAGTGTGTAACTTAACACAAAACACACACACACACACACA